AATAGACTTTACTTGCAATCCTGTGAATTATTATAGGGTTCAGTCCCCTACAAATCAACCCCAGTTGGAATTGTGAGTCTCTTATCCAGACATAGCCCACTCTAGGCTCCTTTCCCTCCCTCTTTTCCCTTCTAGGAAATTAAAGTGGAACTGTAGAAGCGCAGTCCTTTTATTAAAGTTGAACAGATTAGAAAACAATATAAAACAAAGTAGTGTTCTCTTGAAGACGTGAGAGAAGCATCTGCACATGTAAAGAGTTAAATCCCTCCTTCCCTCCCATTCTGAAGAGATATATCAAGATGACTCCTGTTGCTTGAGACTTGGACCATGGGAACACCAGGTACTTTTTAATGGGTCTGTTCACTGTGCCTGTTGATTCCCAAATGGGTCAAGAAAGTCTCTTCCAGTTCCCACTTCACATTGTGAAATGTCTCCCTCCTTTTCCAAGGTGAACTGGTCCTCATGATCCATCTGAGTATCTTCACGAGGTAACCTTGCAACTGCAGAACCATCTGTCCAACTGCCCTCCCCGCCTCCTCCTCAGGATTGGATGACTCTATCTGAGCAGACCGTAATATGCTAGAGTTGGGTTCCCTCCATACATTTGTATGTTTTCAAGTTTCTGTATTTAGGAGGAGTTGGTCCATTTGTAGAAGAACCTGTTGCGCCCTCTGACCTGAAAGCCCCAAATCTGTGCACATATTAATTCTACTTTCCAGTGTCTGTTGCTGCATTGTAAATTATTTTTCTTTTTCTATGTATTATGGCATTCATTGACTTTTTAGAAGTGAAGAGGACAAATCAAGACTTTCCCATTTAACTCAACCTCTAATTATCATTATTTGAAGTTTGAGCCTACAGAAACTAACTGATATGCTTTTGTTATTACCATAGTGATTGGTCTTTACAAAACCAAACAATAAAATAATAAAATAAATAAAATAAAATGCTTACTGTAGCAATTGTTCATAAATACTGTGTAACTGAAAGAACGGTGCAGACATAAACAATATTAGTGCATACTTAACTAAAACTAAGTCACAGTATGAGCTTTTCAGTGCCGGTGAAAAACTTTGCATGAAGGAGACCAGCTAAACAAAGCACATGCACATTGCACCCAGCAAGCATTTCTTCGCCCTTGTATGACCATCCAGTATTTCAGATTAAGTTGTGCAAATGTTCATTTTTTTAAGGCTTCCTTGAACTATATTTCAGTGGTAGCTCACAGAATGCAACTTAGGGGAAGCCCAGAGTTTTTCAACTATGGATCCATGACTTTCCTCGATTTTATATGTTTAACCACACTGAAACTCTCTGCCATTCTACAAAGCTAAAATTTGAGCCAAAACATGACCATTCTTCCTTAATGCACTCTTCAAATCTTCTTGCCCTCTCCCAGCCCAGTATAATTCTTTGTAGGGCCAGAAAGGGGTTGAGGCAAGAGCAAGGCATCTGCATAACTGATGTACAAGATATTTTGCTGCCTAAAACACGGGACATGACAACATCCCCAGTCCATAATCCACATACAGAAGCTGGCTGGAATAATGGTGTTACCTCCCACTATACTTGAGGATGCAGGTTAGTTTAGGAGCTTCAGGAAGGTTTTCTTCCAGAAGGTTCATGAGGATGAGCTAGGAGGTTGCCATCACTGGCTCTCAGAATCCGCCATTCAAAGTGGTCGGCTTATTCTGCCTATTTAAAGGGTTGCCCTTGGGCATATACCAGCTCCATGGACTGAACACAGGCTTATGATAAGATTCTGACTCAGCTTTCGCTTGGGCAGTTTCGCTCAGGGATTGCACAGTTCTCTGGTTCCTAAGGAGTTTTGCTGAATGATGTTTTTGGACCGGCTCTGTACAACTCCATTCCCTGGCACTTTAAAAAAAAAATCAGCCTGAAGGACTTTTGCACACTTTCTCCAAGTGTTCAGGACCTAGATGAAAGATTGATGAAGTTTGACAAACTGAACACATGCCAGAACTGAAAGCACACCAAAAATAGAGATGCCTTCTAAGAATAGCAAAATTGAAAATAAAATGTACATGGCAGTTTTGACTGGGCTTTTAAGCCTAGTTAATCCTTTAGTTGGACCAAGTAAAGAAAAATGCTTTAAGAATGGCATCAAACTCATTAAATGGTATGAAAAATAGTTACATAATCCAACTCTGCATGGCTATAGAAAACCCAAGATAACCTAGTTCTTGAATTTCACAGTTGTTGCTGTGGCTGATCTGTTCTAGTCATCCTCCTAGGCCACTCATTTGGCATAAGATAACCTTATCCTTGTGTGTCTAAATGGGATTTGTGTTCAATTCTGCAGTAGCTGAAAAAGCAAATGATGTGCAATTGTAAGGCATATTTCACAAACCAGCCTCACATCAAGGGTGGACTGTTGCAAATTTCATTTTCAATGAAGCATAATAAACCTGTCTTACATAAAAATCAGGTGTGCTTCCATATGGCACAAGTCATTTGCAAACATCTGGCCTAATAGAAAATCTCCTGCCAAAGGAAATAAGTATTTTAATGCATGGTATTGAAGAATGCAAAGATGATGATAAAAGTGTGTGGTATGTAAGGGCAGAGGGTGAGAAAATAATTAATGCCACTGATCAGCCCATTTTGGCATTTGGGTTGGGTAATTCTGCTGGCATGGAAAATGTAAAGCAAAAAGCAACATAAAATTGGCCTAACTAGTTAATGATTAGTAGATAAAAATAAACTGAAATGAAGGCAGCTCAGAGGAAGTAAATAATATAAAACAGAAACAAGATTTATTGTTTACACAGCACTTTTTAAGCCATCGGTGCTTTAAATAAATTCAAGTGTTCTAGTGAAAATGACATTAAAGTGTTGCTTTGATAAGAGAAAATGGCAGAAATTAACATCAGTTTTAATACAGATAAATCCCATAAAATATTTAGTTTAAACTTCATATTTTAAGCTGCTAAAGCCTCCAGAATCCATGCTCAGAATCCATGTATGTAATGAATTAGTGCTTCGCAGTATCCACCTCGTTGTGAAAGGATGGAGATATTTTCCCCTTTACTTCCTTTCTTTCCAGAGAAAAAGTTCCAGTGATGAGTTCTGTAGTAAGAGAGAGATTCGGATTCATGCCTAATTGGGTTTTTAAATCTTGCTCTGTCTTTTACTTAGCTGTCAAAGAAGATTGATGATAACTCCATCACAATTAAATCTCTTCTACATGACTTCTGAATTTTCCACTAGGATTTATAAATGAGGCATATCAGATTCTGCCTCTAGATAGTTCAGTGGATGATCACTTTAAATACCCAGTGCATGGAGATGGCCTGATGCACTGGACGGGCATTCTGCGAGAGGACTAAGGCTGTCCCAACACAGACATGATGCTGTGCTCAGCTAGCAGCAAATGGGCTGCACCACCACAGATTCCAAAATGCTCGTGTTTTACTACAAACCAGGGCCAGCACCAGGGTCCACATTGCTGGGCACATGCCAAGGTGCACTACCAATCACTGAACACCGCAGCTCTGTTTGCCTTTCTCACTGTTGTCATGGCTTCTTCTTTTGTCCCTTCTAACCAAGTGAATATAAAAAGGAGCAAGGGAGCAGTGAAGTTGACCGTGCTCTGACCCATTATGTGGCTGTGTGGACTGAGCCCATAAGGAGATAGCAAGTCAATGGGCAGAGGTGACAACAACAAAGAAGCTTGGGACCCTCTGATGGAGGAGTTGTGCTGACCCCCCCCCCCCAAAATGGGGACCAGCACTGTTTCCAAGAGACGGCCCCATGGTATATCCGAAAATGCCTCTGGCACACATCAGTCACAATACTGACAACACATCCAAGATGAACCAGTTCCTGAAGACACCATTCTTCATGCAGCCGCAGCTAAAGGACCAGCTGATGCCACGAACCGATCTGTGCCCAGCCTGTTGCTACACACACAATCAGACGTCCCCCATTTCCATGCCACGATAGTTGGGACACAAGCAAGGAGAACTCAGTGGCTTTCAAGAGAAGAATCTGAATCCCGCTTGGACACAGTGTCTACATATGTCCAAGAGAGTCCTTGTTAGTCAGTTGCATTGCTGTCTGTGTTAGGGCAACCAGCATTGGCACCCTCTGCAAATTAAGAATGGAAGGTACAATAGCAAGTTGCAATGCAAGCAACATGGGGAGTGCAATGGGGCTAGTTTCTGCTAACACCAACACAGCTGGTGATCACTAGGTTTGAAGTCACTAGGACATTTCTTTAATGAAATCAGAAAGAAGCTGCAGGTATGCCTCGTTTTATTGCACTTTGCAGCTATTGCGCTTCCCAGATGCAACCCTGTGTCGAGCACATGTCTATCAGCACAATTTTCCCAACAGGGATCACTCAGTTCATGACTCTGTCTCACAGTTTAGTTATGTAATTCTCACAATTCTGTACTGTATTTCAAACTTTTCATTGTACAATATATTTCTTATAGTTCTCTGTGATATTTGATGTTACAGTGATCTTTGTCGTTGTTCTGGGTTGTTTCGATTGCTGTACTGACTGGCCCTTCCTCCATGTCTCTCCCTCACCTTGGGCCTCCCTATTCCCTGAGGCCAGTTACTGTAATAGCCCTACAATGGCCTCTGAGTGTTCAAGTGAGAGGAAGCTAGAAATAAGTTTTGTGAGGAAGGCATGTTGAACACCAAGACAGACAAGAGCTAAACCTCTTGCACCAAACAGTCAGCCAACAGTAGAACTGTAACTATACGTGACCCAAGTTATTGCTATATTCAACTCATTGTGCTGGTCTGGAACGGAACCTGCAGTAGTTTCCAGGTATGCATCCTGTATATCAATAAGAAAGTAAGTTATTTCCTTGCCTAGAGAGAGGCATGGTGTCCTCAAAATTTCAAGAGATGTTTTGGCTACATTTTAATAATTATCATCATATTACCATCTCACTTTTCAGTTGCTGCCATTAACTGTGTGTTCTGTCTCCTTTTTCTGTCCTTTGATCTTTCCTTTACCGCAGAGATCTGCCTTTTGACCAAAGGCCGCCGCACTGCCAGTGTAAGAGCTGACACGTACTGCAGGCTGTATTCGCTCTCTGTGGACAACTTCAATGAAGTTCTGGAGGAGTACCCCATGATGAGGAGAGCATTTGAAACAGTAGCCATTGACAGGCTGGACAGGATAGGTGTGTGTCCGTTTCCATCTTCTTAACCAGACACAAATCTGTTCCTCTTTTGGGTCTAGAAAATCTCAAATACTGTCTTCTGTTGTTTGATAATAACTTCTTATAACCAATTAATATAAATCCATATACATTTATAGCAAACTGGGCGGCAAATGTATATAAGCAGAAAGAGGGGGGACTTAAAAAGATCCTCGAGCACATATTGATTGCCACACCTTGGAACCGAAGCTCATAGGGTGGCATGGATTGTTAATTGCTTTGGCATTGTCTAGTTTGCATTACTTAGCCAGCATGGACAAGATCCTGTGTTGCACTCACATGTTTCCCTGTGTAAAACAGGCAGCTGCAGCAGTGTTTACCTGGAACATCTGCATGGCCCTTCTCCAGTGATATATATGATGTTTCACATCGCTTTGCCCTTTGCACGGCAAACCTGAGAGAGAGGAAGGGTGGTGCTTTTGCCCAGTGTGCTTCTGGTAGCATGCAGAAGCGCCTGCCTGCATCTGCGTCAGATTTTGCTGAAGTTCTAAACATCTTGCAAGAGACAATGCATGTTGATAAAACACAGCATGGCTGCAGTCCTATGCAGAATTAGCTGGTACGGACTTCCCAGTAGACATGGATAACATAACAATGCAGGATGATTCAAAGTGGCATGCAGTGTGAAGAGCTTCCTGAAGCAGTCAGAGTTGCATCTGACTGTGTCCTTCCATGCCAAAGGAGGCTTTTTGATCCATCAGAGCCTTCTATGAATGGAAGAGGGAGGGCAATGATTTCATACAAATGCCCCCTCACTTCTGCAACCCCAGGTGCTATCAGCATGTGATCTGGTGACTCCTACCCATTGAAGCTTTTATTCTGAGCTTTATAGGAAACATCCATGGTACTCCATGGTGGGGAACCTATTTTGGGGGTGGAGTTCAGCACCATGAATAGCTCCTATACATTTCCGAATGAAACCTACAACAGATAAGGAGATGCACAGACATCAGAGTATGGATCCTGCCCTGGTCATCACAGCTGGGTTTCTAAAGCTCCCCTTGCCTTCAGGAACAGATTCATAGGGGGCTGCAGTGGGAGATGGAAATGTAAAAAATAACTTTTCCACTTCCATTCATGGAAACTTTTCCTGGATCAAACAGCTTTCTATCAGTGAAAGGACGTGTTTTTTCCCCACAGTGCAGCAGTGGAGGCTAGGAGCTTCAAAAAGGAATGCAAGTAAGGGCTGTGGTAGTTGAGGGACCATCTTTTCCTATATGAACCTGTCCAAAATTGCATCCACAGTGACCAGTAAGAGGACCTTTTTAGTGATGGAATGTCATTTCTGAATGCTCTTTCTCAGCAGGTCAGAGAAGCACAAACCTGTTTATCATTCATGAGACAAATTAAATGAACATGCTGACCAAACCATATGATGGTTTATTTGTTTGTTTAATTACAGTGTTATCTTTCTGCTGCTTGTTTTAGGTTTAATTCCACCCTCTAAGCTGTCTTTCTTTTTCTGTTACTTCATTGAGTTTTAGACAATCATTATTATTTTTTCAGTGCCTTTTAGTAATGCAGTGTTCCTTTCCTTCGTATGTTGCTTTGAATGTTTTAATGGAAAGGGGGCTTATAAATGTTTTAAATTAACAGCTACATGCACTACTAGGCAGTCCAAATCAAAAATTAAACTTATGCAACTCTAAAAACGAATAACCCAGAGACCACTATTTCATTCCATTAGATGGCATTGTTTATTTGTGAATAAGAGATATGTTTCTCTAAAGAACAAAGGGTAAGTGCAGTTTCAGTAATCTAAATGGTCTAAGAAAGCTTGTTTGTGTCCCCTGAAAATCTAAGATTAGATCACATGATTACTATTGTTTATTAGTCACATATGGAGGTTGTCAGCATCATTCTCAAGAACAGCCAGTACTGCACAGAATGTAGTGGCTTCATTTTGGATGAAAGCAGTGGGATGCAGACAGTTGGCCAGGCCACATGGAGAGCTGGCTCAGGCTCTGGGGAAGACCCTTCCCACCAAACTGTCTTGATTTCCTCAGTTAAGGTGCATGCACCCCCCTTTTCACCTGCAGTTCATTGGCAGTACCATTCCATCAAAAATCAGTTCTGTTTATTCAAATGCTTGATTACTCAAAGGGTTTGCAATTGCCAGAAACTTGTACGAATATATGAAATCAGGCTCTGCAGATATGATTGCAGTTGTAAGGGAAATATTTGTTACAAGAAAGATGCATTATTACTGAAGTCAATAAAATTACTTGAAGGGCAGTTGACTATATATATTCTCTATTCTGTAAGGGTTATACATTGTGCTAAGTTTAGATGCAATGACCATTGTTACACAAGCAGGTACTACATAATATGCACTGGGTTCATATTAGTTCACAGACATTTGGAAAGATTATGCCTCTCAATCTGCTGGTCACTGCTTACCGATGTTTAATAATTAGTTCCGGCAAATGTGTTAAACAAGCACATGTATTTATAACTTACATAACATGTTTAGCATTTGGGAAATTAGGACAGCTTGACAAGGAGAGAGCTGAACTCTTTAGCACTTAAAATCAAGTTGCTCCACTTCCTTTCCTTTCTACAGTTTTTTACTATCGTTATTGGATGATAAAGTATATTTGCATATTAAGAGCAATTGAAATCAACCATAAAAGCATAGTGCCTAAGTACTTTGGTTTTCATTATCAGTAACAAGCAACATGCCAGGACAGAGTGTTTGTGGCACTGTGGGTCAGAGAGTGTTTCTTGCACTTTTTCCTGTGCAAAGTGCAACACCCCAGATCGAGTGTGTTCTGTGCAAAAAGAGATGTTGCACACAGGAAAGGGCAAGACCACCCAGCAAGAGAGATGGAAGCAAGTTTTGTTTTCATGGCAGCTACATTATCACTGAGCCCACAGGGCTTCCCCCATAATCATTAAAGGGGGCTGGATAGCATTATTCTTACAACAGCTATTAGAAACTATGGGTTACAGAGACTCTGCTGAAGGGGCCAATATGCCACTAGAGTAGTTGGAGGTTTCCTAGAGATACCTAGTTGGGCACCTGGAACTAGCTGGTCACTAGCTTAGTCTTGTCCAGCAGGGCATCTTGTTTCATACACAGGAAGTGAAGGGACATCATTTCTTTAAGTGAAAAACAGTAAACAGAGGCTTACCTCACCACTGTGATAGAGGCTAAACCTAGTCTATAATGATTCCAGTCACTGATAACCATGGCTACCCCTGTTTCCATGTCTTCACCTAATCCCATCCATGGTTTATATTTCTTGTTCACATTTCAATATTTATTTATTTAGTTTAATTTTTCTATATTGCCCCATTCCCATTGGCTCTGGGCAGTTTACAAGTGATTACAACTATGCTACAGCCTAGAGCAGTGGTTTCCAAACTCTTTTGGGCTACCACCTCCTTTACTCTTGGGCGACAACCTTAATGCTCCCTCACCTCTTTCTTGTGTTAGGTCTATTGCTCCAGTGCAAATTTAAAACAACCAATCAGTGTGCCCCTGGATCTTTCCACCACCCCCAGCGGAATGGTACTGCCCATTTTGAGAATCACTGGCCTAGAGAATGTGGATTGAATGTGACTGATGCATGTCTTTGCTTTATTAGCCATTGCCTTAAAATCTTTGTGTGTGTGTGTGTGTGTGTGTGTGTGTGTGTGTGTGTGTATCAGAGAGAGAGAGAGAGTTCAACCAGCATGACAAAGCCTTGCATGCTAAGTTATGTCCATTTCACTTCCCAAAGGAAAAAAGAATTCTCTTCTGCTCCAGAAGTTCCAAAAAGATCTCAATACTGGAGTTTTCAACAACCAGGAGAGCGAAATTTTGAAACAGATAGTGAAACACGACCGAGAGATGGTGCAGACTGTTGCAGTGGCCAATTTGCAACAAACGCCAGCACTTAACTCGAGCCCATCGACAGCAGTCTCTCTGACACAGATCAGGACGCAGTCCCCGCCTGTGTATCCTGCAACCAGCCTCTCCCACGGGAGCCTGAATTCTCCAACACCAAGCACACAGACCCCTCAGCAAGCCGCCGTTTTCTCGCCCTGCTCCTACTCTTCTGCAGTCTGTACCCCACCAGTCCAAAGCCCTCTTGCTGGCCGAACTTTTCAGTACGCAACCCCCACTGCCTCCCAGTTGTCGCTGCTGCAGCAGCAACAAGCAGTCCAGTCCCAACAGCCTCAGCAGATGCCTAGTGCAGCATCACAAAAGAGTGATGTCCACAAGAGCACGCAAGCTCTTCACAACGCGAGCCTGACGAGAGATGTGAGGCCGCTCTCCGCCTCACAGCCTTCCTTGCCCCACGAAGTTTCTGCCATGATCTCAAGACCTCATCCGACGGTGGGAGAATCTTTAGCTTCCATCCCACAGCCAGTGTCCAGTTTCCAAAGCACAGGCATCCAGCCTGGGGGCAAAGGGACGGTGCCGCAAAGGGTTGCCCTTTTCCGCCAGATGTCTTCAGGAGCTATTCCGCCCACGCGAGGGACCACGCCATCCACAGCCACGTTACAAAGGGATTCTTCCACAGTCTTAAGCACTGAACTAGAAGGAGATAAACCACGGTTTGCTTCAAACTTATGATTCAGGCAGACTATTAATAAAGTGGAAGCATGGATGAAAACTGAGATTATTCCCAGGAAACTGCTTCAACCTAATTTTGGATAGATTCCAGCTGTTCCCTATGAAAAAGAAAAACTGTAGACAAATGTACCCTTGAAAATTGAATGTACAATATACAGACAGACAGAAAGACAGAAGAAAAAAGAGAAATCTAAACGGCCTCTCATGCCTTCCAAATCTAAAATCATTGGTTGTACTATTATTTATTTTTAGGCTGGTTAAAATATTGAAGAAATTCCTGTTCTGATCCTATGGTAAAATAAACAAACACATAAATCAAATGACAGTATTATTGATTCCAGGAGCTAAGCCACAAAACAATGGTGAGGACAACAAAATCCGCAGAACATCCCTTAGCGTGGAAGTAGCACTTGTGAAACCATAGTTTTTAACTTTTCTCAGTCAAAGATATTTCAGACATAGTTCCCACTTTAGAGGTCCAGATTACTTTTTGGTGCTTTTACATTCAGGTTTAGATTGAAGGATGAACACAGTCTTTGCTGTCTGCAGAAGGTAATCTAGCAGCCCTGCTTTTTCTGAATGAAATCTAACCTCAGAATAACTCTCCTCTTTCAGAAAGCTGGATGGACTTCTGTCTTCATATTGGGGGAAAAATTAGTAGAGACTCATTAATCCTGCTGTAAATAACTTTTTAGACCCAAAAATAATAATAAAAATAGCTCCTGTGTGGTGTACCATTGCAAAGTATTGGTTTAGAAATTTAGTTTCAGCTCTTCATGCCAAAATGTAACATTTAAAAATTTTACAAAATGTAAAATGCAACACAATTGTAATGCAATGGCTTACAGTGCTACAATGCTACTTTCACATGCAGTGTTTTTATGCAAATTTGTATGCTTGATCCTGCTCTCTGTACTACACCAGTGCAATCATCATTTTCTTCTTTGCCCTGGATAGTTTCTGAAAATATTCCATGCATGCCTGGAATTTATTTAATTTGCAAGAAATAAACCTAAAGGTGAACAACAAAAACACCCTGTACACCAAGATAACTAATAGATTCAGTCAGCAGAGTTTTTTGAGGGGGAGGACCAAATGTACCCTTCTTACATTCAGAAAGTGATGAATGTGAATTGATGGCTTTTGCATTTCGTCTCCTACGGTGCTGACTTTGAATCTGTAGTTAAAGACTGCACATGATTTTATTTTAATTTATTAAATGGGTTATTTTGTCAATCATTGCTTCGGTTAGGCTTTCAGGCATATTCTCTGTCCTCACAGTAGTTTCATAGTTGACTGTGGTGATATTTTTAAAAAGAAATAAGTATACTATAGCATCCTATTTGTTTGGGAATGCACGACTTGATCATTGTATACTATAATAATTTGGACAGCATATTCTACTACAGCATCAAACATAGAAATGAGGTTAATTTCTTCTTCTTCTTCCTCTTCATGTCTGTTCAAAAGAGAGACCATAATAGAATGCAGGGTTAAGGTATAAAGTTGTGTAAATGTTTTCTGTTATTTGCTCCCATCTTCTTGTTAGCATACACCTTTGGGTGCTTCCAGGTGGAGGATTTTCCAAATGTCAGGTGTGCTGATTCAAACTTCTTTCGTACTTTTAATACCATGCTACCAATGTTAGCCACATGAATGGATGTGCTCTTAGCATGGAATCAGGATTGGAATACTTCCTCATCCAGCCAGCCCTCAAACATGCAAGTGGAATTTGCAGACATCCTGGGGAGCAACACTCTATGTAAAGTGGTTCCCATGTAGTTGTGGATAATTTAAAAAGCTGGTCATGGAGTTTTTGGTCACCTGCAAGCCATGTCCTGATCATGCTGAACATCTCTAATCTAGATGATGGTCAAGTGGAAGCTACAAGCATCTGCATCTCTAGCAGAATCTGATGGAGCAACTGTTATATGTAAATCTCATTGCAGCTTATTCCTCTTTCTTGGGTAGTCTTTCTAATTTTACAAAGCAAAATCAGACATGGAGGAACTTGTATGTTGCCTCCCTACAAAGGAGGTCCCTTAGTACATTCTCAGTGCCTGGGGAGAGTCACAGTCAAACTGTCCATGTCACTACGGAATAACCTTCCGAACTATTATGCATACTTCAGCCCCTTCGATCCCAGTCCGCTCCTTGTATGTCTGTTTCAATCCAATTAGAAATAGGTAGCCCTTGACAAAACAATGTGCCCATTAATATTGATATCATTGAGCAGTGGGAAGATCAAAGTGGCATCATTATGTGCTGTGATGTTCCCATATACACCTGCAAGTTTAGTTTGTCCAGATTAGAATCACAATGCACCAGGCACAACTCCTGTGAAAACGGGATCCAATTCAATGGGACCCATGTTGGAGAGGCCCTCAGTGAATTGTGTTCAAAGTGTCCGGTCTCAGAAGTGTACGGAGCCTTTTTTCTCTGCAGGTACCTCAATATCTCCAAGGCAGCAACTGTGGAATAGTGGCTTGAGGACTGCTGCCCAAGCGTCATGCTGCCAGTTATGCCTTTTCCTCCAATTGTAGTTTGAATGCCTACATGAATTAACCACACTTAAAGTTTTGTGTGATTTCCACTTCCCAACAGAATCAAGCTAACAATATAATTTATTCCGTGAATACGCTGCTGATGGTTAAATGGGAGTGGTCATGAATCACATACAAGGAATGTAATGTTTGAAGTATTATGGGTAAGCTGCAAGACCATTTATTTTTTGGTACGATAGAACCCTGACTTTATTTTAATACTGATGATAAATTTTATCCAATTTATGATAAACATATTCTGGTCCTTAAAACTTTTCAAGGTTTACATTTGATAGGAGCATAATGGAGTTGGTAGCAAACTATTTTTATACATATGTTTATTTTATTTTAAGTATTCTGAATAAGCATTAACATACATGGTCTTTCAGTGAAACCATAAAAAATTTTTAATGACTTTGTATTAGAGTGGATAAAATCTAAGGTTTGTAAGTTAATTAAAACTGGTACAGGGTATACAACTATATACATATATATGTATGTATGAATGTGTGTGTATATATATATATATATGTATATATATATATAGGTAATCAAACAAATGACTCTCATTTGTGTATCATAAAGAATATCCATTGCTATTTTGCGAACTGAATTATTTTCTTTAAATGTAAGGCGAGAAATATGGCAACTCCCATCTGTATAGGATCGCATGTATTTATGACACTGGATCATGTTGCTGCTGAAAAGGCAAATCGTGAAACTGGTCCTTACAATGCCTGGTGATCAGGGATGAGTTAACTTTTTTTCTGTTGTCCTTGCTCAAAGCCATAAGTATATATATATACATATATATATATAGATTACTAATAAATTGAACAAAATATAAAACAATAAATTATGAACCTTTCATTTGACCTGTGATGTTTTCATCCAAGTATGGTTATGTTATTTCAATATGAAACTATTTTTTTACTTGGTTGAATATGTTGTATTCAACTTATAAGACAGAGAGCTTCAGCTATTGGATAGTATAGAGGTGGTGGTGGTGGTGGTGGACTATAGAATTAGGAATCCTAGCCTATTATTTTCAGTGGTAACTGGCCGTAGCTTTTCAGGGTTACAGGCAGGTGCGTTCGAGCTCCACCTCGAGAACATTTTCCACAGAAAGCAAATGCTCTACGAGTGAGGCCGGCTCTTCCCTACTATGGATATGATGCTGTGGATACAGCAGACAAGATGCTGAACTAGCAACCCTCAACCATCACCCCTTGGTCTCACATAGACCCACCAGAAGAACAGAAATGCTGGTTGCTGGTCTAAAGCAAGAGAACATAACTGGTTCAGTTATTGAGAGCTGTATTAGAAATTCCATGGCTGTTGGCGCACCAAGTTGTGCAGCATCTGGAAATGTAACATACACTTCGTGGGGTGAGCTTCCATGGATGGGAGTTCATTGCTGCTTCAGAATTACCTGGCTACTACTTTCAATGTGGGAAGACTAAAAGATCATGTTCTAAAACAGTTCTATTTGACAGTTGGCAAGGAAAGCATCTGTCAGCTCTTGTAAAATCTGGATGAAGAGATCATGATAATGGAACCGGAATTCTCCAGTCCTGAGACTTCCTGGTGGTGCTTTGAAAAGCACATCAAAAAATAGTGCACTCATTCATCTCAATGGGGGTGGGGCAGGTGTGTAATAGGTAGGCAAGGTTTCACATAGAGGAACTATTTAGGAGTGAACATGAAACTCTGGTTTGTTATCTGGTGGGAATATGTTGAGATATCTAATATGTTCCTTCAGATATCCTGACCCCAAGCTGTTCAGGGCTTTTTATGTCAATATTAGCACTCGGAATTAGGCCCAGACAGTAACTGGCAGCCAATGCAGCCTGTGAAGGACCAGTGTAATACGTTCACAGAAGCTGGTCCTCATCAGCAGCTGCATGTCCCTATTCTGGAGACACCAAAATCCGCAGCCCATGCAGCACATCACATCTATTTTGTGGACAGTTTGTTCACAAAATATAGTCACTGAAATTCTATGAAAAAGAAGCATTTCCCTAACAAAAGTACTACTTTCTTGAATATACCTCAAGATTCCTGAGACGCTTGTAATGGATGGCCTATAAAAGCTTTAAATAAATAAATAAGATTCACCTGTTGATAATTTGTTCATATATTATTGAAAGGCTTCTAAGCCCCATGCATAAAAGTATGGCAACTTCAGTCCAAATTCAGTTCTTTTCAGGCACCAAGACTTCCACCCAATGTTAGTCTAACACATTCCTTCCACTGAGTCTACTCTAAGGAGCAACTTTAGATACTTTCTAGTTATTTCCTGCTGCCCAAACTCCTAATTTGCAGGTTCTTGGGGCTGAATTTAGAACCAGCCAGATGCAACTTATACTCTGCCACTGAGCTGTGATCCATGTACCATCCATGTACCATTAAGCCATGAATGGGAATAGACATCTTTCTCCACAGCTAAAGATGCAGGTAGCCCATTCAGGAGTACCCAGGAAGCCTCATGCCACACCTGTTTATCCTCACCAGTAACTGTCCTGCATTTGGCTGCAGCCTCACACATACAGGTTTTCTATTTAAATCCTTAAAGAAGACCTAGAAGATACCTGGAAAATGTTGTTACCACTTGGCTATGGTAAATACGAGATCTTAAGATAGATCATGTTGATCTGCCATTGTAATGAGTTTGTCACACTGAGCCTGGCAATGTGAAAACTTAAAAAAAGGTTCTCATCTGTTTTTATAGGAGAGGGAATGACAGCTTTCTTGAGATTATTTGGTGAACAAATAGTGATGTCTTAGGAGGAAGAATGTTAGAAAGGCTGAGAATCAGGAAAATTCACTGAGGGATGATTGAAAAGAACTAGTAAAATGATGCATGTCATAAATAAAAGCATTCATCTTTACTAATAACCATTTCTCATCCTACTGGCTTGCTTTGCAGTAATCATGTGAAATGGCAACTCTCCCTGAACGTGTCATTGCATCGCAGCGATCTAATCTTCACAATTTGCTGCATAGAGCTTCTTCCCAGTTTGGGCAATTTTCTCCAACTGCAGCTGAAAGTCATTCTGTTTGGTAGAGTCTTCCAACCATTTTGGAATTTACAGGAAGAGGAACAATTGGGAAAGATCAATGACACAAAAATTGTAGATCTTGCACCCCAATGCACTATATCCAAAGCACTCAGTGACTGATCAGCAAATTGTAATCCCTTTCCAACAGTGCCATCCTATAAATGCCTATCCAGAAGTAAATATAATTGAGTTCAGTGAGACTTCCATGTATGCATGTATCCATTCACAGCCTTAGCCCCTCAACCCACTGCAAAGTTACTGAAGGGACTCTAATGTGGATAATTATCTCCTGCAGCTTTTGTACACCCAGCAGACTGTAACTGGCCTGCAGAGCACCTAGATACTCCCGTTCTCTAAATGCAGAATTGGAATGAGGTGGTCTGTTTTTTGCTGGAAATTGGTGAAGCACTAGGAGGAGTAGGCGGAGATACCAGCAGTGCTATGAAAATGTCAGACATCACTGCAATATCCCCAACAGGTGGCCATCAGGCTTCTGCTTAAACATCTCCAGCAAAGGAGAGTCCATTCCTTCCCTCTAGAATTTGTCCACTGCTGAACAGCTCCTATTAGTAGGCTGTTTCTCCTGCCGCTTAGCAAAGATCTGCTTCCCTGCGATTTCCACCCATTGGTTCTAGCCCTGCTCTCTGAAGCAACTCCGCTCCATCTCATGACAGCCTGAAGACCACCATCATGTTTCCCCTTCTTTTTGGCAAGCTAAACATATCAAGGTCTTTCAACCAAAATTCCTGTGTCCTAGTTTTGAGACCCCTCATTAGCCTCATAACTCTAGGCATGTGGCACTTAGTGGAAGAATTCAAATGTTGATTGCAGTGACTGGGTAGCTTTAGGTCAGGAGTGTCCTTTCAACAGGTATTGCAGCCCCAAGCCATGTAAGGCCTCGCAGGTTAAAAGGGAACCTGAAAATGGACAGATAGCTAATGCAAAAGTGTCAAAGGTCCCAGGCATTAGTCTGTCTGTCACAGCAGGCACTGTTTGCAGCTTCTGAACCGTCTTCAGTGGAGGTCCCATGTAGAGTGCATTCCAGTAAACTAACTTGGAGGTTACCAGCAAGTAGATTACTGAAACCAGCTTGTTCCTCTCCAGAGAAGGGCATAGTAAAAAGCATCTCTGTACCCCTGAGCCCACTTGAGCTTCAAGTGACAGAGATGGCTCCAGGAGGATCGCCAATCTACAAATCCCATCCTTCAAAGAGAGTGCAACCCTTTCCCAAACAGGTTGAACACTCACCACACAGTCAGTAGAACTTCTCGATAAGAGCATCTCAGGCTTGTCGGGACAGAGTGTCTATTTACCCATTCCGCTGTCACACTGAGACACAGATTTCACATAGGCGCAGGCTCTCCTGATAAAGTTGAGATTCATGCCATTAACGTGCTGATAGCAACATGCTCCAAAACTCTAGAAGGCTCCACTCTGTGGATATACCATAGCATAGGGCACAACACTGATCTCTGGGGAGAATCCACAAGGCTGGACAATACTCTTCGAGTACCATCCTCTGGAGCTGGACATCCAAGTAAGAGCAGAACCATGGCAGTGCTGTACTCTCCATTTCAAGCTCAGACCTTCATCCCCAGAAGGATACCATAGTCAATCGTACTGAAAGCTGCCAAGTGATCCAGGAATATCAATAGGATCACAATTCCCTTGTCTCTCTCCCAATATATTATTAGTAAGACCAGTTCAATGTATCTCAAATCGTTACTGTGTGGCTATATGTTTTGTGTGTTTATGTGTTCTCATTTTGTTTGTTTTGCTTTGTTTCCCCCTTTTTTCTGTGTGTGTGTATATATATATATTTGTGGTTCTACTCTTATTTTGTATTCTCAGCAGATTTTTTTTGGCTGAGGTTTGGTTTTGTTGAAAGATTGTAAAAATCAAATAAAATTATAAATATTAAAAATACTGGCTGAACAAAGCTGTTTCCATGCCCAAACCTGTCCTGAACCCTCACTGAAATGCATCCAGATAACCAATCTCATCCAAGTGTGCCTGGAGCTGGTTGGCCACCACCCACTCAAGGGGCATGCACAAGAATGGGCCCTTTGCCATTGCCCAGTTAGGCTTTTCCAGGTGCAGAGAAGATTCTTTAGGAATTATTTCATGGCTGCCTTTTTTTGGATGGTGTGGGATCACTCCTTCACACACAGAAGCATGAATCACTGCCCTGGCCCAGCTGACTGCTTTCTTCCTGGCACATTTCCAGTATGGAAGTGGTTGAATGATAAGAATAAAAACAGGGGTAGGAGCAATCCCACTGCATTTGCATCCCACTGTTCTTCCTCTTGTGAGGAACCTAAGGCAGCTCCATTGTGTCGTCACAGCAACAACTCTGACAGGCTGAGAGCAGGACCGGCTCAGAGTTTCTCAGTGAGCTTCATGGCAAAGCGGGGACTAGAATTGGGAACTG